TCCTCCTCCTCCTCCTCCTGCAATGATACGGGAGCAGCTTGTTCTCCTGTCCCTGCAGAGCATTTCCAGTGATGGATTTTTTCTCTTCTTCTTCCTGTTTCTCTTCTTCCTTCTTTCTTCTTCTCATTCTCCTCTTTCTTCTCCTCTTTCTCTGATCTTCCTCTTCCTTTTTTTCCTTCTCTCCTTATCCCCTCCCTCTTCTCTTCATCTTCCTTTTTCTTTCTTCTCCTCTCTTCACTTTCTTCCTATCTTCTTCTTGTCCGCCTTCTCTTTCTTCTCCTTCCCTATCTCTTTCTTTTTCTCCTCTCCCTCCTTCTGCTGACCTCCTCCTCCTTGTCCCGCCTCCTCCTCCATTTCTTCTCCTTCTCCCTCTCTACCGTTCCTTCCCCTTTTCCTTCCCCTTCTCTCCTTCCCCTTCTCCATTTCTCCTCCTCCTCCCTCCCTCCCATTCCTTCCCCTTCTCTTATCTTCTCCTTCTTCCCACTCTACCACTGCTTCCCTTTCCCCTTCTCTTCTCCTCCTTCTCCAATTCTCCTCCCTTTCTTCCATTCCTTCCCCTTCCCCTTCTCTCCTCCTCCTCTATTTCTTCTCCTTCCCTTTCTCCATTTCTCCCCATCCTCCATTTCTTCCCCTTCTCTCCTTCTCTTTCTCCATTCCTCCTCCCTCTCTACCATCCCTTCCCCTTCTCTTCTCCTCCTTCTTCCCTCTCTACCACTGCTTCTCTCCTCCTCCTCCGTCCCTCCTCTCCTCCTCCTCTATCTTTTCTTCATTTTTCTTTGCCTTTGACTCCATCTTCCTCCTCCATCATTTCTCCCCCTCCCCCTCTTTATCACTCCTTCCCCTTTCCTTTCTCCATTCCCTTTCTCCCACTTCTCCATTTCTTTTCCTCTATTTCTCCTCCTCCTCCATTTTTCTCCTTCTTCCTTCTCTCCTTCTCCATTTCTTCTCCTGCTCCTCCCTCTTTACCATTCCTTCCCCTTCTTCTTCTCTCCTCCTCCTTCCCCTTCTATCTTTTCTTCATTTTCCTTCTCCTTTTCTTTATCTATCTTCCTCCTCCCCTCTCTCTACCATTCCTTCCCTTTCTCCTTCCCCTTCTCTCNGTTACAGAACGTATGTCTACAGGAAGTCATAATACATAGGCCAGCCAACGGACAAACATAGCATGTATTTTGAGGAACTAACAATATGTGTCTACCAAACAGAATAACAACCAAGCCAGCAAATAGGCTAAAATAGATGCTTCGCTTCAGCATATTTCATGTACAGACTTCCTTCTAACTCGTGTCTAACCGCACTATGTCCTGCAATTTCTATATAAACAGTTACAGCTTAATATCATGAAACCCTAGTTTGGTTCAGGCTTGAGGCCTACTTTGGTTCAGCCTGCCACCTCAAGCTGGCCATGCCCACTTGGGTGGCCATGCCCGCTCGGTTGGCCATGTTTACCCAGTGGCCACACCCACCCAGCTGGCCACGCCTGCCCAGTGGCCACACCCGCCCAGCTGGCCACGCCCACCCAGTGGCCATCCCCCCTTGAGGTCAACCAGAGCCCTGATACAGCCCTCAAAGAAGTTGAGTTTGACACCCCTGCTGTAGAGTGTGTGTGAGATTGCTGTAAGATAGATTTCTAGGCTAAGTAAGGGCAGTCCTCATTTAGTGACTGCCTAAGGCAAAGACCGTTCACAGTTACTACGCTCATGAAAAAGTCACTTTGAGAGCCCTCCTTGTCTTGAAGCACTTTACAGATGATTTTATTTAGCGACTACCCCGCTTAACGACCAAGTCACTGGTGCCAATTTTGCTTGCTGAACAAGGACGGCCTCTATTGGGCATGGGTAAAATCTTCAGTTGTAGAAGGGAGTGAGGTTTGCTCTCTGCTTATATTTACATACCGCTGTTTGTTTTCTTACAGACATTTTATGACCCTGTTAGGTAACATCATCAGTGCCACAAGATGCTGGTCTTGTTGTATTCGGGTCTTTTCCCGTGTAAGATTGAGATTGTCTTAGCAACGTTTCGGCAAGCTCCCACTCGCCATCTTCAGGCTGGTGTTTTCAGCTTAAAGCGTGGTCGGAGATGTCGTCTTTCTATAAATCTTGGTGGGGGTGTGTGGAGTGCTGGCGTTGTTTCAATAAGTGGATTGATTGGCTGTGTGGCTGTATCATGATTGGTAGATTGGTGCTGATTAGTGCTGGCTATGTGTCCATTGTTGTTTTGTATTGTAATGGCCTGTTGTAACAGCCTACAACACAAAACAACAATGGACACACAGCCAGCACCAATCAGCACCAATCTACCAATCATGATACAGCCACACAGCCAATCAATCCACTTACTGAAACAACGCCAACACTTCACACACACCCCACCAAGATTTATAGAAAGACGGAAGCTCCGACCACGCTTTAAGCCAAAAACACCAGCCCAACACCTACACACGCACACGCACGCACACGCACACACATACACGCACGCACGCACACACACAGACACAATATTTTTCTTTAATATATATTAGTGCTTGGTAAACAGTGTATTACCTGGGTCAATTTACTTTATAAATAGTAATAGTAATATTGTTTATTTATACATATTAATAATCTTTCAACTTCTACCTTGATAACACCAACATTTAACATTTTAATGTTTTATGTGGTTATTCTAATTGTATGAGTGTAAGCCACCCAAAGTCATATTGGCACAGAAATCTAACAGTAAATAAAAATAGAATAAATAAGTTCTCATGACCCTAACCCTAACCCTAACC